AAATGAGGAGCTGATACCAAGCGCTCAAGTAGAAAGAAAATGTTTTGAAAAGAATGATGGCAACAGATGTATAAATGTGCTTGACACAATGGATGTATGGATTGTGAAAGTCTCTCTAACACCTTGCTAAAGAGGGACACTTCTTTCTTAGGTGGTTGCCCTGCATGGTCTCCTTGTATCTTCTCCTCTGCCGTCAATGTTCTTGTCTTCCCAGCTTTTTCAATTACCTTCAAACCCACATCTCAGTTCTCTCTTCAACCAAGTTCTATTTGTATGCTATTTCCTCACGGTCCATGCCTTAATTGTACTACCCTGCCTTTCATTCCTCTTTCTTTGATCTGGCCCTACTGTGATCCAAGCCTTCTCTTTGATCTATTCGAACATTGTTTTGCAGCCTCTACCCCCACACCTTTATCTGTCATCTGCTACATTTTGAACAAAGCAGTGTTGTTCTTTCTAATTTCAGAATATCTCCCCTCCCTATCACAGTAGATTTTCAAATCTGAGACCTCAGATGAAAGTTCATCTCCTCTTGCTATTCCTGTTAGAGGTAATAGGCTCTTGTCACAGTGGGACTGTTTGTTTTTATATTCAAGCCTCTAGAACAAAAACTATTATGCAGTATAAAATATTAATCTGTGGATTAGTCCTTCTCAAACATTGCTCCCAACAATAGAACATGTTTTCCCGAGGACCTTTGGACTTGGCCCAGAACAGCCTGGCATAAGCTGAAATCTGTTTTAACGCTGAAAGACAAACAAAACCAAAAAAGTATGCTTTTTGGCATCCAAAATGCATCCCTATCAGTTAACTTAAATCATTTAACCCAAAACCTCTCAGTGGAATTGGTACTCCAGAATTATACCATGATGGGCCTATGATTTCAGCTATCCATTAGGGAGGGAGGTTTGTCCAGACACAAGGCCTAAACATTATATGACAAAGTAACAGCCTATCAATGACTGAAATTATTGCATGGTGTCCCAGGACTTAGGATTAAGATGAGATCCCATTAGTTCAGTTCCATTCAAGAACTTTTGTTAATTTCACAAATAAGAATCAGCACAGAGCTGGCCTCTGGGAAATGGAAGTGAAGTATATCTCCACTTTGCAACCTCACCATTTTCTCCGACATCAGCCACTCTCTTCTCCACAGCACACACTCCCTCTCTCTCTCTCTCTCAGGGAGTTCACCAAAGCCACGAAGCTCTCACACTGTTTGAGGTGTTGTGATCTACTAGGGAGAAGGAAACAACTCATAGTGCAGGACTGGAACAGGTAAGAATAACCAACTATATGACTCAGGAGTAATTCAGAGCAAGCAATACTCAGATAAGATATGCAAAGGTCCTCAAAGCAAAGGGTACGGCCTTCTCCCGGAAGTTCTCCTTCTAGGATTCTTTCCCTTGGGAGTGTCCTCCAGGCTTGGTGTTTTGGTTTTCATCAGCCCATTTTACACTCATTGTTGGTTACCAGGTGGATTCCAAAGCCAGCTCCTAGGCATTGAGACAGAGCCCCAGATGGCCAGTGTATCCATCTACTCTAAGAGCTATTTCACATAGGTCATGAACAAAGTTCCAACTGGTGGTGGTAAACTATCCGCCTCACAACTATAAGTGTAAGTCAAAATGTACTGCTAAAATTCATAGGAACCTTTATTTAAAAAAGAAAAAAATCTAAGTCTGAAGCCACTGTTTCTCTACATATCCTCCGTCTAGGTCTGTACACTCCGGAGGGTGGTATTTCCACTTCTCTCACCTTTCTCTGAAGAATTCTGAGCTCTTCAATGTACACCACCATCAAAACAGAAGTCTGGCATCTTTGAGGGACACAAATCCTCTTCCTTTTAAATGTTGAGTTTGGGGAACAAAAAGAAATGTGAAGGGGCAACATCAGGGCTGTAGGGGGTGGAGGGGTAGGGTAAGCTTTCCCAGTGAAATTCTGATAGAGCATCCCTTTCTACCCTCAAAGAGGGAGCAGGTCCATTGCTATGGTGGAAAGGAATTCCTCTGTGGAAAGGGTTGACATCCAGCTGCTAATTGTGAGGTTGGTGATTCAAACCCATCAGACTGCTCCTCGGGAGAAAGCTGTGTCTGTCGGCTCCCAGAGCATTCTCCGGCACAGTTGATTGGGTCTCTTTAACCTGGAATCAACTTAAGACCAGGAAGATTGGTTTGGGGCTTTTTTCACAAATGAATTTTCGGTTTCCTTGAAACTTCTTAATAAGCCCTCCCTCAACTGTCTCATGTCCTTCACTTTTGAAATCCAAGAACCAGTCACCATAACCTTCTGAGCTGCTCTTTCTCCTCGAATTGGCTCAGCAGATTCCCTTAGGCTTAGAAGCTACTGTTTTCATTGAATTTTTTTTTAAGAAGTCTTGGTTATGAATTGGACTGTGACCCCCAAAGCTGGCAGTTAGATTAACACCAGCAGCTCCTTGGGAGAAAGACAGGGCTTTCTACTCCCACATGTGTTTGATCTCTCTAGTGGGAGAGATATACCTCGGTCCTTGGCTTCTCACAAGAAAGAATTCACGCCTGGTTTGTGATCCAAGTGAATTGCATGAACGTTAGAAGCAGTTTCAGGTTCTACAGTAAATGGAACACAAGCCAGACAGAGTCCGTGGCGCAGTTGCCAGTTGCGGGACTGCAGCCCGGATATGCTACATTGTATAGCAGCTGCTGGGAAAGAGCAGCCAGAGCAAAACCTCTGACCTTTTCAATTCCTCCGCAGGGAGGCGTGGTTGACGACCCTGGTCGACCCCATTGGCTGAATTGAAGTCACCTGGCCCAGATGGGCCAATCAGATGCAACACCCACCTAGGTGTTCCACACCTTCCTGACTGGACGCTTGAACCTGTGAGCATGCGTAATGGACACCCCAGTCCCTGTGTTAGGCTACCTAACATAAACAGTTACAGTCCCAGAAACTCACAGGTGCAATTCTACCCTGTCCTACAGAGTCGCTATGAGTCAGCATTGACTCAATGGCAGTGCATAATGAGAATAAGAAATGTGAATTACTGGGAGAACTTTAGGGGCTCATACAACTCTTATCACAATCCGTACATACATCAATTGTGTAAAGCGCATTTGTACATTCATTGCCCTCATCGTTCTCAAAACTTCCTCTCCACTCAAGCCCCAGGCATTAGGTCCTCATTTTCCCCTCCCTCCCTGCTCCCCCCTCCCTCATGAGCCCTTGATAATTTATAAATTGTTATTTTGTCATATCTTGCCCTGTCCGACGTCTCCCCTC